TGCATACAAGTAACATAGATATGTAATTTCCCCTTTTCTCTGGGTTGTAAGACAGGACGCCCATGTGTTTTGTTGTGCACATCAAAAATATCTTGGCAGTTGGAAATTGAAAAAAGAGTAGTCTAACGGTGCTGCACAGGCCAAATTTGGATTTAAAAATCTACCCAAAATATTTCAGGTGCTACAGAGCCTGTACACTGTGCTGAGCTTCTTCGGACTCAGACTTGAGTAAGAAAAAGAACTGAGCACTTATGGGTTACTACCGGTGTGCCATAATGTTGATCCTTTGTTCAAACTAAACTTCAAACTTCATCTAAGCCTCATACATCTTCTTGCCATTATAAATGACTGACAATGCTTATCGCTGGCAAACGTTACAATCAATTATATTTTATACTCATAGGGGTTTCGGGACCTCATGGGAGGATGGACAGGCCCACGGTACCCATAATAAGCGTGTCGTAGAAGTTGTTTGATTAGGGTTTTTTTTTTTTTTCTTTTTAAGTTAGAGTGAATTTACCTGAGAGGCAAGGAGCTAACTGTCTTCATAAAAAAGCAAAATCTGTTAAACGGATCTGCATGCAAAACTTAAATTCTGGAACAAGCCTACCTAAAGTCCTTAAATAAACAAACAAAAAGAACGCCAATGGAGATAGAAAAAGAATAAGAGAGAAAGAGAGAGCGAGAGAGCGAGAGAGAGAGAGAGATAGAGAGAGAGAGAGAGAGAGAGAGAGAGAGAGAGAGAGAGAGAGACGAGATAATATATTATAAGGGAGGATTATTTCCCACACTGACCTTAGCATGCAGAGTGTAAATAAAGTTAAGGTAAAGTTAAGGGCACTCTTTGCGACATTGGCGCATTGGGCATACATTTTTCGACATATTTTATAGACCAGCTGGTTCTTCAGTGGACGACAAAGTTAACATCAAATTGCCTTACTTCACTTCCTGGGACATCTGATATCTATTTTACACCTAGTCTGACCTGGGGGGGGGGGGGGGAAGTAGGGTGTGGGGGAAGTCGCCAAGAAGCTTATTTAAAGCCTTTGCTTTCAGGACAACGGTTATATGTTTTCTACCATTCAGAAGGTTTTGGGTACGAATACCCAGTGACTCTAATATCTGTATGAGTAATTTACAATGAAGACAGGGATGCTTCGAGCAGATTGGCACGCTTTACTGGGAAGGTCACGGGTAGCGAGCATACGTTGGTTCTTATCTCCAGTCTATGTCGGCGAAATTGGGTAAAAAAAACAGGCAGACAGATTGACTGGATCTGCACCACTGCGTGGTGAATTGATACATGACAATGTAGATGTGGTCAAGGCCCTTTGGGAACAAGCAACGGAATCAGTAGAAAAACAAGATTATTATTACCTGGAGAGAATGAGGCACCTGGGTGTAACCAGAGGGTCTGGCCGGCTCACTACACTCAGAGGATAGGCTAGACAGACATTTAACAAGATTGTGACCGGTTCCATCAGTATTGGGACTCTGCGCTGGCTGCTGAAGATGAGGACAGAGCAGGCATGGGAATGCCCCGAGTGCTTTGATGTCAATTCTTGACTCAAATCAACTTAACTTTTAGGCCTATAGTCGAACAAGTTGCTGTTTCCCTGCGGTGGCTTCTGCATCCAGGTTGACCCAGTCTTAACAAGGTAGCAAGAATTTTTCTTGCAATTAATGGTAGCTGGCAAACTATTAAAGACATCACCCATCAAGCGTTGATTGGTACAAACATAGAGAGATGGTACCGTGTATTGATGGAACAGCGGTAGGACAATGGTTTTATGCTTTCTGCCATTCCGAAAATTTAGGGTTTGAATATGCAGCGACTTGAATGTTTAGCGAATAATTTACTTTGTCGCTTGTGGGTTCCGGTTTCCCACTTTGTATTGGAGGTGATGTGGTTGGCTGTCATTAAAAAAGATTACCATTCACATACTGCTTCTTCCTAACTTAGTCAATACTCTTTTACCTTGTCATGTAGAGATTTGCCAGAGAGATAACCAGAGCTAGCTATAAGCAGATTTGTGATGTTACTTCCTTTCAGTCTTGTGTCAACAGATACCGGATGTGGTCTTCCAAGCGAACCTTATCTCACCCCGGTGGTCTGGATGCCTGGTTCTTGTCCTCTCATGCCTGCTGTGGTGGTCTGGATGCCTGGTTCTTGTCCTTTCATGCCTGCCGTGGTGGCCGAGTATTTCCTATTCCGCGTACATGTCCAAACCATCGTAATCGTAACTAATCCATTCAAATTTGCACTGCCTGGGTTTCAAGATCATAGCGTATTGTCTAGTTGCGAAGTTTGTCCCCTTTTGTCATTTGGAATGCCTTTTGCAGATACCTAATTTCTGAGACCTGAAGCTGACCTGTGTACTGGGGTCATTGCACATGATTCACACCTATAAGTCGGGACTGTCATCAGGTAGAGCGATATACACTAACTAAAGATTTGTCTAAATCGGGATATTAGAAGGCAAGGCACCAGAACACTGAAACTTAGAAACTTTGAACCCACCCAGCCCCTCCCTCCCCCACCCCTCCCTTGTCTAGAAATGTTAGTAATGGTGCTAGGAATCCATCCTTTCACTACGAGGAAGTTCTTTTTTTTTTTGGCCTGTATTTTTTATACATGTAACAATTTTAAAATTCTAACACCTTATTCATTTTTAGTTTTCAGCCTATTATTATTATGACGTATTATTGTATACTTATATATATATATATATATATATATATATATATATATATATATATATATATATATATATATATATATATATATATATATATATATATATATTACAAGCATTCAAAAGGAAATAGGAGAAATCATGGGAAGAAAAGTGCATGAGGGGAGTGGGGGGGGGGCGGAGGTGAACTGGTTAGGGGGCAAATTTCTGTCGCACAGGCTGTGATGGCAGCAACTTAAGGATCTGCAAGTACCTGATACATGATGATTATTAAAAATTTTAACAAGGTTCAGATTCTTGGTGACCCCCGTTCCCAATATTTTGTGTTTGTAAGTTGACGCTCATAGGCACGACTTACATTTTAGAGTGTCGGAATCTTACGATGCTTTCAACAGTGGTACCGTGAGCTGACCGTTCAAGAAGCAATGACAAACTACTGAACATAACAATTATAGTAGAAAAATCACAATAGCAAGAAATCCTGGGCTGGGCTCTGCAACCTTGTGCTTATTGGTTTCTAATTTGATGATTCTGTCTTTACAATTTTTTTAAAGAGATTTTAAATCAAGATGCAATACAAGTGTTATAAAATAATAATCATTAGTTAACCTGTTCTGGCATTATATGTCACACTGGGCTCGCAGTCTATTCCTCTATTCTGCTCTATCCTGTACAATCAGTTTAATATCATAGATGGAATCCAGTCTAGCAGCTTTGGCCTCTCTCATCAACGTTCGTCTTTTGGTTTCTTTTTGAGCTTCCTCGCCTCCTTAATTCCATTACTTCCCAATTCAATGCATGTTTGTTAATTCTCTGTTGGTTTCTTCCCAGGATGTATCCAATGTAGCGCCATCTTATCTGTCGTATAACTCTTTATATTAGTGGTTGTTCACAGGTTTATTTAATGACTTTACTCCTTTTTTTTTAAATTTATCCCCTTTTATTTTCATTTTTTGAGGCTTTTGTTTCCGAAAAAATATAATTAACATATAATATAATATTTTACCTTTCAGAATTTGCAATGTTGGACACAACGAGATGGTTTAAGCGCAACTAACGAAACAAAAACAACTTCGGCATACATTTGTAACCATGGCAAATTAATCAAGATAACACTAGCCTTATAAGAATGTGTGCTTATCCTAGTTTTTCACGACAAGATACATTAATAGTGTTTAAAATGTGAACAGGGCAGATAAACCGACAAATAGTCCATATTACGTACCCAAGATAGATTTTTGTGATTATTGACTTAGATAATAGTCTTCAAATGTCAATTACGATTCACCCTTTTTGTCCAGTTGACAATGACGTGCGTCAATACTTACAGCATTAGCCAGCTTCTTTTCACCAATTAGAAGAGTGTACAGAAATGTCATGAAATTGAAACTAAATGGAGCGATCATTTGAAACGTGTTCCAATGCTTGTATTACAAAATCATGAATGAAATATCAATAGGTGGCAGAACTGAACAAAGCATTCGTTCTGAATAGATATGGACCAGAAATTATGCATCCAGGAAATCGTCGCATTGCTTAGGTAAGCGGCGAATGCCGTCCGCAAAAACGAGATGATCGTGGCTTCTCATTAATCAAGTGTTTATCGCGTTCACTACGTACTCATATGTGTGAATTCGTGGCTTCTTTACGGCTTTTTAAGCAGTTTGGCTAAATTAAATATCATTTGGTGACAAATCAGGACTAAAGGTTGCAGTATTTCTATCTCTTCCTAGCTAAAGCTTCCTGCAAAATCTTTGCAACAAGCGGTCATAATAATCGTAAAACAAAATCACAACAGGAGAAAGCATGTTGGAGTCCCTTATTCTTGATGGCTTTATGCAGCTTGCCTAGACTTCCAAGTGGGTAGAGCTGATGTCCACAGGAGATTATTTTACGTTTGTCAGCAGTAGCGTTTATGGTAAAATATGTGCTTAAAATAACCTTTCAGGGTGAAACATGTAACTTAGATATTATTGGAGGTTTTCTTTCTTTTGTGACCATCCTATTAAAACTTCAATTTGGTATACTGTGTATGGGTTAAGGAGGTCTAGTTTAAAGAAGTCAATGCTTGATTTCAAGGAAGATTACAACACAATGGGCAGATTGAGCAAAGCTGGCTGTTCCGATGTAACGAGATAATGTAAAAACTATGTGATTGATCACAGGAGAAACAGAAATGTATACTTTTGTTGGATACCTAATGAATTAGTTTATTACATAATACCGAAATAGTTATAGCGCACTTCTTAATGCATATGAAGGAGTAGAAATAAAAATAAACGCAAAATAAAATCAGCCGCTAAAATGGCGGTAACGTTTTCCAGTAGGAGAGTACGAATTTGTTTGGCAACTTTAACAACAATGACATCTTTTTATGTGATTATAGTCTTATATATGGTTAGCTACAATTTTCTGCAAAATGAAAATATTATGGCTACATATTTTGTAGGCAGAGGAGGGTATCAAAGCCATCGTCGTGCCACTCAGTATCGAATACAACATAACAGTAACTGCACTCAAAAGAAGAATTTTGTTTTTATTAAAGGTATGAAATGTGCAACTTCGACGCTTTTAGGAGTATTTTACCGATTTGGTTATACCCGGAACCTCTCCTTTGTGTCACCGTTAAAACAGAACTTGTGGCTCAATTGGCCGTATCCTATGACACTCCGGGACTTCAGACCATCGAGTAGAGGCTATAACATTCTAACAGACCATTCAATCTACACTGAAAATGTCATGAGATCAATCATGCCTGAAGACACTGTGTACATCAGTATTATAAGGGAACCATTTTCCCAACTGAAATCCCTCTTTCAGTACTTCCAGATTGCTGCTAAGGCAGGAGTTCCTAAAGATGTTGACAATCCGGTAGTGGAATATTTCACGCATTTGAAGAAATATGAATCTGCCTACAAAGCACCTGGCAACAAAGAGAGGGGATGTATCCCCGAAGGCTTCTCACTGACAAAGAACCTCATGTCTCACTGCCATGGTATGCCTCTCGGCTTTCCTCCAGGTGCCAAAGACATTTCAAACGATACAGAAGCTATCCAGAGTTACATAAAACATCTAGATTCAAAGTTCAGCTTAATTATGATCAGAGAATATTTCTACGAGTCGTTGATCCTCCTACGGCGACTAATGTGTTGGACTTTGAAAGATATTTTATTTATAAATTATAACATAGCAAAGTACGCCTTTAAAACCGCCCCAGTACCTGAAAATATACTAGACCTACACAAACAATGGAGTAATGCAGACTACATGCTGTACAATTACTTCAACACTACCTTCTGGAAACATGTATCTAATCAAGGACCCGAATTTGTTTCTGAATTAGAGACATTTAAAAACATGGAACGTCTTGTTCAAGACTATTGCACAAAGATCTACACATACGGGAAAGGTCACAGTTACCCTGTTAATATGTCAAAGATCGTTTTGGATGAAACCAAATGGAATGTGCAATTCTCCATCAGTTCAGAGGATTGCTGGGTGCTTGGTCCTAACCCATATGACCTTCTCCATGTGGTGCAGAGAGACAATGATGTCAAAGAGGCACATCTACTGGCCGAGCAGAATAAAATTCCCGATAACAGAACTATGAAAGGAGGATGTTAGCTACATATCTAACTCAAATACGATTTAGCACTAACAGATTACTTTTATGTTGAAGTTGTATTTGTCTGCAGTTATTTTTTATGCTGGGTCTTTTACACAAGGGGCACATTGGGTATTTTGTGCTAGATTTATTTTATTTCAGAAATACCGGTGTGTGTAGGTAACAGGATCAACCTCATGCGGGCTGCCTTTACTTCCAACGACAGTACCTTGTACTGTTTCAAGACATGATTGACCTGGAAGTTAGGGTAAACTCTCCTTTAAATTCTTCTCAGAGCGGATTTGAATTTGCAACCATTTTGATCATCAGGTAAATAACTCAATAAATTCGTCGACTTTACAAAAGAAACACTTTTTCAGAATGTCTTATATTTTTCTGGACACTCGCAGTATACATGGCCTCAACAACTGCTGCCCAGTTCAAACTGAACATTACTCAGTAAGCAGATTTGGTAAGTCAATATCGCCTTAAAATCGTATCGTGATGGTCTCCCCAGGTGTTACCGAAATCCATAAGAAGGGGAAATACGAGGAGGCTTCAAGTGAAAAAAATCAAAAGTGTAATAAAAATTCGAACAACTATACAAACTTTGACACGCAACAAAGAAGGACAGCTTTATGCTACGCATAAATTATCAGCGAAAGAATGTTCAGTATCGTGACGTATGCCTGTTAATTTGGTTTGAACATCAGATCAACATCATGGCACAAAGTCTGTAGTCAATAAGTGCTCTGTTTTACTTCTAAGTCAAGTCTGAGTCCAAAGAATCTCAGCGTAGTGCACGAACTCCGTAGCACCAGCGATGATCCTGAAACATTTTAGGTAGATTTTAACTCCACATTTTTGCCTAGGCAGCGCCGTTAAGCTACCCTTTTCTATTTCCAAACACAAGTGAATTTTTAACGTTAGCAACAATACACAAGGGTGTCTGGTCTTACTACCTAGAGATCAGAGCAAATGACCAGAAGTCCACTTGAAAATATTCCAGCCTTCACTTGGACCAGAACCCGGGACCTCCAGCTCCATGCCTAGAGACCACTCAGCTTCCTAAATGCCTGTTAGTCTAGTAAGTGTATCAGTGTTGGCAGTTTCAAAATGGCGGGAAATCCATTATTAGACCTTCAATCGCCGATTAATTGTTTTAACGTTTTATCCCTTTACTAAAACAGATAACAGAATACTGCTCCTCTCTGGTGCATGCCAAACGTGGGACGGCAGTTTTCAAATGCAATTGTTACGTCACCGTTTCCGTATGCACAGTGATGTCACATGCTTAACACTTCTGATATCCTTAATAACAGTATTTAGGAATACAAGTCGGTGGCACAGTTACTGTAACTTCTATCACAGTTTTAAGGGTTTTATGTAAAGCCCTCTAGTAATATGGGAGCTGCTTAAGTGCTGCCACTAGACGCTCGACTTTTGGGTTTTGTTACGTATCTTTAAGATTTTTTTTTTTTTTTTAGGCTTTGGCTCCTCTGTCCATTAAACTTTACAGGAAATTCCATGACAAGTAAACGTTGTCATGTTTGATAACTTTACTCATCGAGTATCTGCAGGTCGATAACAATCCGAGGCGCCACTGGCATAAAATAGGTCCTTAACGTTACTTTTTTTATATACTATGGTAGCCTGCCTACCAAATATAAGGATTATAAGGACATAAGGATTTTAAAGGATTTACTTATTTGCTTCATTTATGCAATTGGTACTGTAGTATGCACCTGGCGAGATACAGTGAAATATGCCAGGCAATAAATTGTACAATCTATTGTTTGTGTCTTCTTTGTTCAAATGTATAAATATCAATAAAATGGATAGGTTGAACTAGTTAGGTTTGCTATGGTGACAGTCTGTCGTAAAAATATCATACCTTTTTCTTCTTCTGCATTCATCCAAAAATGTAATTGCGTTGTGTCCGTTTACAGCATGGCTGCGATATTTTCACCTTTCGGCCAACACATCCGACTTCTGCGGGCAATTGTTGACCGGGTTAGCCTTCACGGTTAGGACATGGTAGTCTCATTGTTGCGTGGTCATCTTTATTTCCCACGTCACAGGTGGTGCCCCAATCAGGCTGGTCCAGAAAAGCCGCATAATGCTGATCAGTCCCCAAGAGAAGGCAGGTGCAGAACATGAGCATTCCCCGCCATCCAAGGAAGCTTCTATAAATGCAGAGCTAATACATGGTGCTCTGGTACTGGGCTCACCCAAGGAATCGTCACGTCCCGCTTATGGCTGTTTAACCTCACTTCGATGTATTGAACATCTCATACATCATGGGCTATCTCTTTTGTAGCCAAAAGTATGCAGCCTGCAGACCCGGGATTTCATTTACCTACACCACAAAATGAGTACTTAGCTTCTTTTGCATGTTAGAATTTTACTGCAGTGGACTTCCTCATCCACTATAGTTTTACGTGGTTTACGCGCTCTGAATCTCTAGGGACTATCAGCTCAGAGAATCCCAGAGTTTTATTCTTCTTATACCTTCAGATGTCAGTGTGGATATATTTGAAGAAATCAGCAGTCAACTTGAAGTTGTTGACATTTTCACACAGTTTATCCTCAAAAGTTGCAGGTGTTAGCCAGAATAATTTTCTCTGTTCTGCATATATTGGACACTCTTGCATCAAGTGTTTAGCCGTCATTTTATCCTTTCCACAGTTACAATCATCATTGTCTCCTTTCTTTAGGGTTTATTGAACAAGTGGTGTTTCAGCCTATTATGTGCTGTGCGGAGTCTAAAGATCACTACTTGTTCTCTTCGGCCAAGTTGATAGTATGCGTCATCCTTCTTAAAATATCATATGAAAGAGACAGTGAGTACATGCAAGTCTGGCCTGGCAGAATTGAAATGATGGTGGCAATACACTCGAGGAGGAGACAGTCTTACTGTTAAACAATCTAGTTCTTTCAGTAATTAATGGTGGCCTTGCTATTTTAACAACGTTCACTTCAGAGTGTACAAAGCTTGAACGGATTTAAAATGAAGGACTGAGAATCGCCTTGAGTTGCTAACGAGATACACTAATTAGAACAATGAGATATTTGCTTGGGCACACATAAGAAGAAACGCCACATGCGAGCATGTACAGCAGGAGTCTACCAATCATCAATTGAAATGATTCCTCGTCGACAAATGTTTGGGCCCACGATCTCCTAAACAATTTCAGCTGCACGTATTACCGTATGTTCTCGGACAGGGACTAGACGAAATTGGTGACTATGCAACAGGTACTGTGAGATTCGAAGTTTATTTATAGTCACTGCGGTAGCTGTTTGTTTGTTTGTTTTAGTATCTAGAAGTCATGAGTTGTTAACCCTTAGGTGCGGTATTATGGATATCGCAACCTTGATTCCATTGTAAATACCGTAAATCTGGGAGAAATGTGGCTTTTCTGCCTACCCCTGGGAGTGAACCCGGACCACTAGGAGTTAGTCACCCGCTCACCGCGCAATCCGGTTTAGCCAACTACGCTAGAGAGACGGGCACGGTGCGGTAGCATATTAGAGCAGTCAGCTTACTTGGACGACCAAGGGGCAAGCTTACGGTTGGTTTATAGGACACATGTTGGACTTTGTTGGCAAATGGCAGAGGGACACAGGCAGACAATTCGGACGCAATGGACTTTTAAGTAATTAGATTTCTTTTCGACTAGATACCCGGACCAGCTCACAAGGCCCATCCCCTACGACGTTCCCTTGTGTCCAGAGCCAGCTGGAAGCCCTTTCAGCAGCTTCGCCCAGTTGTTTTAGTGATCATTTGCGCTCGTTTCCTCGCAAGCCCAGCTGCTTTATCACATTCTACATCGAAGTGGAAATGAGACCTCTTGAACTTACCTCGACGGCGAAGATTCTAACCGTGTACGCTTCGTCTCTCCCCAGACCAGCCGCGAGGTCACTATATTTCTCGAGCTAATACATATGACTTTCGTCCATTCGCGACTCATACGGCACGGTCAGCTCAATCAGGATGAGCTGTAGTTTCTCCGCAGAGTGTAGGACAATGTCACGTCGCAGGCCGGTCATCCGGATAAAATCTAGGCAGGTCAACCGCCAGTAACTAAACCCTCGAACAGTCAAGCACCGATAGAACGTATGCGACCTTGTTAAATTTAAATTTATAAATTTGCCCAGCCTTAAAGAAGCGCACAGGGACGACGGTAGGACTGGCCCTCGCGTTGAAAGAGGGCCATTGACCCTCGCAGAAACGCCCTAGGCCAGGGACGATATACTTGGCGTCACAACAAAGTCCTCAAAGATGTAAGTGACATTATGGACCAAGATAGGATGAGGACCAACCTTGGGGCCAGTCCTATCGTCGCCCCGTGCGCTTTCTCAAGGCTAGGCAGATTTATAATAGTAAAATGAAGAAAGGTCGCAAACGCTCCATAAATACTTGACTGTGCGAAGAACGGGTTACTGGCTATCGACCTGCCTGGTTTCGAAAAGTATCTAGAGTAAATGTGGAAGCCCAACCTAAGGCCAGCCATAGTTCTGCACTTTGCGGAAAATCGTCAGCTCATCCTGATAGATATGACCGTGCCGTACTAGTCGCGGATGTAAGAAAATCACCTGTATAAGCTCGAAAAGTACGGTGAGTTTGCGGCGGGTCTGAGGAAAGACAAAATGTACACAGTGAAAATCTTCGCTGTCGAGGTAGGCGCAAGAGGTCTCATCTCCACTTCCACGTACAATGTACTAAAGCAGCTAAAAAAAAGCTTTGAGCTTGCTTTTGACGCAACAAAACGTCATGGGGATGGGCCTAGTTTGACTGGTCTGAGCCCTTAGTGGAGAGGGGCTTCTTATCCCTTAAAAGCCAAAGTGCCCGATAAATGTCTGCCGATGTCTCTCCGCCAAATGCCAAAGTCTAACACCTTTCTGATGAACCAACCGTTAACTGGTCACTCTGGTCGTTAAGGATGTCGACTGATCTAATGTGCTACCGCAGCGAAAACATAAAGCTAGATCTCACAGTACCTGTTGCGAAGTCACCATATCGTCTTGTCGCTGTCCGAGAATCCGATAATGTGCAGCATGGGAAGATCGAAAACTTAAGTCATGAACCAGGTCGGGCCAACCTTCCGAGATTGTATAGAAAGTAATGGCCCGAAACAATTGTCGACGAAGGATCTTTCTACTGTAGACGGTGGACCCCTGGTGTGCATGCTTCCCTGTGTAGTTCTTATCTCTAGTGTTATGTCAAGAGGCATGTTCTTATCTTACACGAGAAAACACGTTTTCCTAGAAGGCTGGGAAAGTGCACGTGAAACGGAAGTCATGACACTGTTCGTGTTTTGATAAGCAATTGTGCAAAATTGACTCTTTTTTTTGCCAAAAACTGGAATGGAATTTTTAACATTGGCAAATTTTGTTTTTGGGTGATTTTTATAATCAGGCTTGTCACGAAATACAACACGCCTGTTTCATATATCTGGACCTGATACTTTCTGTCAGCCGAAGAGGAAGCCGATTTAATCTTGGTCCCTTGATCAACACCCCTCTAAAGGGACAATTGGACTACTTACTTATAGCTTATGCGTTTAAGCAACAACAACAACAACAACAAAAACCTGTGTATGATATGTACATTTCTTCTTGTTAATTTATTGTTCCCTCCTTAATCCCACATCTTGGTTTATGTTTTGTTTTGAACTAGCTATTTATGTGCTTTCAAAGTTATTGCATCTTCAGTGTATTCTACGCGCAACTTCGAAATCTTCTGTGTCTCGTTTGCCGAAAACTCTATCCTTCTCTCCTGGCATCATGACGGTAAAAAATGGTTAAAACATCTTTGCTTTCTGGACATGGTACTGTTTATGAGCAGGTTCGCCTCGATGCCCAGCTCATGTAGTATTTTTTTTTTTTTTTTAATCAATGGTATTCTGCTAATTTATTTGTATCATTTCACTTCAGAAGCTCCGATTTTCTTTTCTTTTTCAGGGATTGAGTAAGTATGCATGGCTCACATCCAACAGTTGCCAGAAAGGATGCATAATCCCAAAATCTTTACTTTTACTTAAGATGTGTGGTTTCACAGAAGAAATTCCTCTTGATCATCAGTCTATGGTCATCCGGATAATCCAATGGGAGCAGAACACTTGGAGGTCATCCCCAGGTCTCTTAGCCTGTATGGTCTATTGGATGTAGCTACATGTAGCCTCCCTCACTGCCTCTCCGGGAAATAGCATTATTGCAAGACATCGTCTGGAGTCGGTTGGAGTTGGAGTTGGAAGACACTGTCGGAGATCTTTTCGGTTAATACCTAATCAATGTGAATGTTTGTTGAATCTTCAGCATTTAGAAACGCAATAACTCCCAGAGCAAGTCAACTACTCACACTAGACATCGCCAGTCCATGTTCTTTATGCAATGTCTTGAGAAAGGAGCATTAACAGAAGGCTTCAACAGATGAAGAGAAAAGAGGATGGGAGTGAGAGAGACAAAAAAAAAAAGAGGATGTTAGGCAGTATGGCATATTGAAAAAAAAGAATATATCATCACAAATAATTTGTAGTCTATGAAAGAAGGCTATAGACAGAAACGGACTAAATCAGCTTATAGTTCACAACCGGAAGCAATTAAACCGCATACATAGTTATTAATAAAGGACATATTTTATTTAAAAAAATACATGCACGTTTTTTAACGCTCTGAGTCTGAAACAGTTGTTACTCACATATTTTTATTTGCAAATTGCATGTATTTTAGAGCAAAAATGCTTTGGATGTTAAAATAATACAGCTATTAGACAGTAACAAAGAAATATAGCTAGCATGTTCTGGTTTACCAAACAAAAGAATGGAGAAGTACCAATTACATAACACTAAAAGAGTTAATTATATTTACGCTAGAAGTACCGTGGAACTTCCTCGAAGCCTATATTGGCACACAAATGGGCGTTCATGAGTAAATAACCCAAGAAATAAGTCTGAGCAAACGTCCTCCTCCCAAAGCCCGCCCTTGTTGGGATCAAAGGTCACACAGTCCTGTATGCCACTTGTAGTGGTGTTATGGCTAGGACCACTGTGAGGACCCCAGTTGGTATAGTCACCCAAAGGCGTTCCATCTTCCCAAAGAAACTCTGCTTCAGTGTCTCTATCTGATAGACCGATCCAAATCTTGTTAGCGTTGCTGAACTCAAAGGTTAGCTGGTCGATAATGAAATCTGTAACATTTTTTGATTTGACCAGAAGCAATGTCCCTCCTCGGTTGGTACAGAATTGTTGTGCTGTGGTGTAGTCTAGCTTGTAGCCTAGAACAAACTGGTAGCAGTTGACACCGTTGACTTTCAGAAACTGGTCTCTGGCTATGTTTGGTGGACAGTTATCTTCTTGGTCTGCGGCGGCTGTAAAGACAATGAAAGGCATATAAGTCAAGACCTATATTTTATATACCAATCTGCATCAGCACTCAGTGGATGATTTGATCGACGTCATGTTGAACGCCTTTACTTTCCAGGACTTTACCTCGTACCCATTGAAGGCTGGGTCAACCTGGGAGCTGAGATCTTTAACTAACTATTGCCAACATTTTATTATATGAACGCCATACTGTCACGCAAACCTTAACTTTCAGTAATATATTATAGTTTAGTAACATGAGAACAAATGGACATTCCTACGCCCGCTTCTAAATCCCCCCCCCCCCCTCTCCTCCCCCCCCCACCCCAAAGGACAGACTGTTAAAACAAACCCCAGTTTAGTTACAACAGTAAATAATCCTATCTTGCCAGGTTCATCATTTTCTTCTGCGTTCATCCGAAGATGTGAATGTGTTCTACCTATGTATATCGTGACTACGAGATTTGCGTCTTTCGGACCACACATCCTACTTCTGTAGCACTGGTTAACCGTTCCGGCAAACACGCAATTTTGAAAAACACAATATAATATCTGTTTACTTAAAACGCATCACATAACTAATGCATAAACAATAGTTTCCATATAGTTTAGTGGCTATTAAAGATAAATAATTCCCCTTATAAAATTCATCTGCAAATTCGTGTTGTAGATACTAAAAGAAAGGCTCCTGTAATAATTCATCATCATCATAAATTTCCACTTCTGCCTTCAAGCGTTGTGAGGAGGAACAGTTTGCGATCCATTGCTTGATGGGCAGCAATGGCTATTGTCATGCAGTCTTCACGTAGAAGCTTTTTAATGTCATCAATCCATCTTCTTCTAGGACGGCCTCTTGATTTCCTGTGTAGCGCCTGCATTGGTAGTCGTTCTAGTTGCATTCTTACTCAATGACCAAACCATTTGAGATTCTGTTTCTCAATGAATTTCCTGTGATAATGACTTACCAATAATTACTGTGTGTGTACATATTTCACAACCGGATCATGCCTATACATGTGATGGCTTATTCTATTGACAATGCAAGTGGATTGTTGTATTTTTGAATTCAGACTGCCAACACTTGGGTTGTTCCATAAAATAATACTGTAAATTAATGTTTTACAGAGAATATGTATGTATTTATATATTATAATATAATGCATGGTTTTTTTTTTTTTAAGTAATAAAGGACCGTTTCCACACCTTTAGACATATTAGGCTTGCATGGCTAGACCTATGTTGCAATGACTTGTCTGCATTCGGAGGGTGATGTGATCAACTTCACGCCTGCCACCTTTACTTCCCAGAACTTGTTAGGGGGCTGAGTGGTCTCGGTGTATGACATTCGCCTCGAGCGCTGGAGGTCCCGGTTTCAAATCCCGGCGAAGGCTGCTTTTTTTTTTTTCCACGTAGACTTCTAGTAATTGTTCCTGGTCTCTTGGTAGAAAGACCGGACGCCCGTGTGTATTGTTTCGTGTGTAGAAAATTCCTTGGCAGTTGGAAATAGGAAAAAAAATACAGCCTGAAGTGCTGTCCGGGCAAAACTCGGAGCTAAAAGTTTACCCAAAGTATTTCAGGATCCTCGCCGGTGCAACGGAGTTCGTGCACTGTGATGAAAATTTTCAGACTCAGACTTGAGTTAGAAGTAGAACGGAGCACTCATGGGTTACATTCGTATACCATGATATTGATCTGTTGAATAAAAAAAAAAAAAAGACAAGCTTCCTAGAACCCCAGACTTCACAGGGTACCCATTTAAGGCTTAGTCGACCTGAGTGCTTATGTTATTTCTCAATGACCTGAACCCACATGTAAAAACCAGTATTCAATACTTTGTGTGCGAATTTTTTTTTTAACAACAGTTGTGAGATGAGTCTCCGATAGAATCTGCTAAGTTGTGTATATGAACGTTATGTTTTTATTTTCTACGTTTTAGAACTAATTTCATGTTATCACCTAAAAAAAAAAAAAAAATTATTTAACTGTCAAAATCTTACCAGCGGTTGAAAGACAAATTAAAGACAGGAATATTATCGGCCGCATGACGACACGTTACACGAATGAACAATTGAAATAAAACAGTCTATAAGAAATGTTGAGATTGCAATTTATACACCGAGTTCAATAAATGAATGGTGAAAAAAAGGTAAAAGGGAGAGGGAGACGCTAAGAAATCAGATAGGCTATACAAGGTGTGGGAAACAAGCAGATTATGTTGCAGTGACAATCTCTTTGTTCAATTTCAAATGTGAATCGACTTTTAATAATAAATAGATAAGGGAATTTGTTAAATTTTTTTTTTGGGGGGGGGGGGGGGGGAGATTGGGAAAAATATTGTGCAAAGGAAAAACAACAACTAAGTAACGAATGTTTATGGGATGGCAAGAAAATGTAATTGCTGCTTTCGAAAGGTTTCTTTAGGTAACAGATGCATCCCAACATGAAACCAAAATGTTGACCCTAGTTACACTGTGTAGCCTCAAAGAACATTCTGATGGTGTGCATGTTTGGGTTTGGGGCAGGGAGGTTGGGGAGGTAAAAGGGTTAGCTGCAACGAAGATTTATAAGGAAATGCTTCCTGTTTATGAGTATCCTGAAAAGCGGTGCATAGATTGGTTTAAAAACAAATCTCCAGGACGCTCTAAAATTGTTAATAGACTATGATCTGATTGATCCTGTTGAGATTGCACCAGACGCACATGTGCATCTTAAGGGGGGAAGGGGGTTAAATAAAGGTGACAGGCGAGTAATGGTTGACTCTGTAGCAGCTGCTATAGGGAGCTCACATGGTTCAGCATTCAACATAATGCATGATCGATTGAAATTTACGAAAGTGTATTCAAGGTGGATACCCAGACAATTACAAATGTGATTTAGAAAACTGAGCAAGCAGTTTTTTGCAGCAGGTTTGGGAGGACTGATAAAACGATGGGACAAGTGCATCAATGTTGGTGGAAATTATGTTGGAAAAAAAAAAGGAACAGTGAATGTGTACAAAATAAACGGTTTTCAAGTTGTTATAGTCTTTAGTTTTTGTTGTAGTTCTTTTTTTTTTTTTAAACAACCGTTTGTGATATAATAATAGTTTTAGGGGGTGAGAAGCATGAAAGAGGTGTAGGACTAGTGTTTGACAAAATAACGGCTAAATCAATTGAAAGGAATTGGAGTATATCGGATAGTATCATCCTGGTTAAACTTAAATGCCAATACACATAAATATCATACAAGTATGTGCACCAAATCAGACAGCAGTGAAGAAGACCTACACAGTTTATATGATGATGTCGAAAGATCACTATCGCAAACAAACAAACAAAAAAAAAATAATAATAATTGGAGACTTCAAAGAGGGTAGGACCAAAAACAAAACAAAAGAATTGAAGTCGTAGTTGGTGATTATAGTTTAGGTACGAGAAACGACATAGGAGAAACACTAACAGGATGGGTAAAAGGCAAATGGTAGGATGACTAGAAACACCTACTGTAAATAGCATAAGAGACGACTTTGCACACGGAAAAGCCCTATGACATTTTGACTACACAGTGATAAATACAAGATTTAGAAATGTATTATTAAGTGTGAAGACAATGCCTGAAGCCGACTGTAATAGAGATCACATCCTACTTTGTGGACAAGTAAAAATCAGATTGAAGAGAGGAAAGAATGAGATTATAAAATATAAAACCTTATAAAGATATCCTAAAAGTGCGTAAAGAAATTAAAGAACAATAAAGAGTGATGGTGAGAAACAGATGCAAAGCAATAACTAAATTTCAAAGCATAAATGAACAATGAGAAATGCTAAAATACTCTATTCAGCAAGCAAGCAAACAGCTGTTACCGGAAATAAAACAAAAAGCTACAAAGAAATGGATGACAAGAAAACTTGAAGTTGATAGACAAGCGTAAACAAAATTTAAAAAAAAAACAATAAAAATAGAGTATTAAAAGATACACAAAGAAATCCGACCTGAAAGTGTAAGAGCCAAAGAAAAATGGGTAAATGAGCAGTGAAACAAAATTGAAATAAATTCCATTAAAGATACAAGTATGCACAGGAAAATCGGCGATTTGACAGGAAGAAAAATGATTAAATACAGGATGTTTGAAATCAAAAACAGGAAAGATACTAATGAATGCAGATTTTGTAATAAGGAGATGGAATCAAGACATAGGAGAATTATATAATTGAGAAAGAACATATTTAACTTAGGAAATCACCTAGAAAAAGTAAAGTAGGTTAGAATATAAGCAATCTTCGTTATGCAGATGATACAGTATCAATAGCTGAAAACGCAGAAGACCTGCAACAACTATTAGACATTGTTCTACTAGAGAGTGCAAAAAAAAAAGGGGTTCTTCTTGAATATTAAGAAAACAGAAACAATAGTTATATCAAAGAAGAAGATAACTCCAAACTGTGACACAGCAATAGAACGGAAAGTGCTTAACTAAGTCTATAGATTCAATTATATGTGAATATTCATAACAACAGATGGTCGATGTGTGTGACAGAAATTAAGAGCTGAATTGGCCAGGCAAAGGCAGATTTTCGAAGATGAAAAGTATATATGTAATAAATCACTCTCATTAAAAATCAGAAAACGAGTATTGAAATGTTTTATGGAGTCTGTTCTGGTGTACGGTAGTGAATCCTTGAATGTGAGCTAACCAATTAGGAAGAGTTTGGAGGCAACTGATATGTGGCTGTTGAGAAGAATGTTGAGAATAGTTTGAACTGCCAGAATATCCAACACTGAATGGCTAATGAAAGTAGAACATTGTATACAACAATGAGAAGGAGACAAAGTTCTTTGGTCATGTGATGTGAAAAGGGGGCACTGCAAAATATTATTATGACTAGAAAGATCACTGGTAGAAAAGGCAGAGGCAGACCAACAGAAATGATTGTGGATGGCTTAAGACAATGGCATTGAGGAATATCATCAGTGGAATTGATCCAGAATACCAAGAACCTAGATTTGTAGCGACGCATGAACGCCTACGCCAGCTGTCGAGTCATTTCATGGTGATGAATTACAGATAGGTAGAAGATGTCTAGTCCGCCTCTACTAGGATACAAATATGTGTGCAAGCAAGACATGAGTAATACAGATGCTGAGAGATTCGAGAGAACAAAATACCAAGCACCGTTCTGCGTAAAGAATGACAAATAGAAGGAAGATGGGAGAAAAGGGTGATGCAATGCACAAGCTAAGCGTCTGAGAGTGAGCACACTAAATATACATGATATCATCAACGGACTTGAAATCCCATACTCGTGCTGTGAAAGCCTTGCTAGTGACATTATCCATCTCCGCGCGTTGTGATTCACATGCCTCTCCATCACACAGTCTGTAAAGACAAAAAGGTGCCAGCAACATACGTTGATGGACCAATCCTTAAACCGTGTAGGCTATGGTCGGCATCATAATCACCGTTCTTACCTCCTATTACATTACCTGGTACTATTTCAGAGGTTGTCGATCAGGCATCCAAGGTAAAATGTTTGAAAATTATTTTTTTCTCAATGTGGATTTGATTCTCAGACATTCCAACCAGGAAGGAATCGGTTAGTCACTACTCTACTGCAGCTCTTATCGCCCAAATCAATTACTGAAGAAAATTCCATCTGATGCAAAGTGAGACCCAAATCACTGAGACCATTAGGAGAATGTGCAGCCATTGCGCTACAGCTGCTCCTGAATTAAATTTACTCATAACATGAGCACAACACTGCGTATTTCACGTAGTTTGTGTGTGGGGCGATTGGCCGAACGGTTAAGAACTTTGTATTCTCATGGGAGAGACTCAGATTCAAACCGTTGGTAAGGTCGTGGATGTTTTGCCTGGGGAAGGCAAAACTAGCAACCTAGACTTACAGGCGGTGGCGACAGCCCCAGCCGTGTTGCCCTAAGTCCCCAAGTTCGAAGAACCTTTTGCCTAAACGGCACAAATTCTTGCTTCTTTCTTTCTTTGTGTTCACCGGCTGTAAACTCGGAAAGTTGTGGCTGTTCGTACACTTCTGGACTGCAGTACTGTTCCAGATGCTAAGAGTTGCGTGTTTGACGGATCAAAATACTTTCTGTGCAGACTGTTGGTTCCTTGCCTTTCAGGCAGATGCAGTCCGACTTCAAAGTAAGCTCCCAGTAAGTCGACTCTTACAATGTGCTTTTGTGTAGGCAGTGGGTCTATTCTTGTTTTCCCTTTAATAGGGCCCCGGAACCTCCAACTCCCTTCCCCCTCTACCCACTTTCCAGGTTTTTAACATGCTGGCTACTGTTCTCAGGCTACATTATGGGTGCATAAGCTTGGGGCCTGGACTGCTTAAGCATTCTTCCTTCCGTAAGGAGGGTCCGAGCCACCGCTGCTGGAAAAATGTCTAACGTGGATAAGTCCCTCTCTCCCATCCCTAACCATATTTGTGTGTGTGTTTATATATATATATATATATATATATATATATATATATATATATATATATACATATATATATATATATCCCTGTTATATTTTATATATTGTTATAAATATATTATTGCATTTTTTAAAACCATTTACCACATTATTTTCATTACTAATATTATATTCCATACTTGAGGTAAATACATTGAGTCCTAAAAGCACACGCGTTAAAAAAAAAATTAAATAAAGGTTGCATAACTATCGAAGAACATAAAGGAAACAGCAGGAGATAGCAAAGAATAACACTTTAGCTAGAGTATATTCAGATCTTACTCTCCGAAAGATGTTTGAGACAGAATAAAAAGATTATCCCACGGCAACTTGTTTTTCCTACATTCTGCGGTTTTGAAGTGATTTATAAAAGGCGAGAGAGTGCCTGTTTGTTTGCTTAACATTGGCGGATTTCTGAAACTCTTTTAGTTCCTCTTTGTTGATCGTTTAATTACAATGTCGGCCACTCTTTTAAAATGTTTACTTGGTGATTATATTATTGAGTAGACGTGTATGGTGCTTAGACGCTCGCTTTCCGATCGGAAGCTCTTCGGTTCCAATCAGTTCCAATCAAAAGCCTGTCAAT